ACCCCCAAATGTGATCCTGGCTTAATTTTTTGGGTTTCTACTCAGACTTCAAAGTTTCAAATAATCCATTTTAGCTCCGAACTTATTTGTTCACTCGAAATCACATCCTACACACTATAACACACGTAATAATTATAAAGTGTTAGCAATTAGGCTCAAATACAATCAAATTGTAGTAACTAGAGTGTAAAATATAGCTAAAATATGAGCTCCTAGCCTACCATCAGCACCCAAGATAAGTGAAAGGAAATTGTCCATCATGCCGGTGTAATTTCTAATTATATTGATTCTAGTAGCGGTGATCTTAGGAGCAGTTACGAATTTTTTTTTGTCCTTATTAACTTTTTACCCAGAATGACAATCATAAGTTTTGATAAACTTCATGATAAGCTTGACTGAACTTCTCTTGCCACTACTAAAGATAACAATATCATCATCATAGGACAAGTGGTTGATTTGAGGGACCCTATGAGATATAGAGTAAGGTATAAAATTATTATTGAGTTGTAAGTTATTAAGGGACCTGGAAAGGACTTCTGCTGCAATAATGAATAAGGAAGGGGAGAGTGGATCCCCCTGTTTGAGTTAAGAAAAAAGTGAAGAAACTATTTCTAGTTTCATTGACATTGATTGAGTACCACACACCTTAGATTAGCCTCGAAATTAAGTCAACCCAAGGCTCAGCAAAACCAAATTTTCTAAGGACAACCTTGATAAAGGGCCAAGACATTCCTTCATATGCCTTGGCCATGTCAAGTTTGATCACAATATTGCCCCCTTTATTAGGCTGGTTGATATCATGGATGATTTGAGATTTCTGTTTGAGCATAGACTCATGTATGCTAAGCCATTTGATATATTCTGCGTGCGCTTTATTAGAATCTTCTCTAGTTTGATCTGAGAAATTAGATAGGTCCATATCTTTTAGTTCTTGAACTTTTTCCTCCCATTTAATCACCTGATTATTGATATCACCCAACTAATTTTTTGACCAATACTAGGCGTTGTGCGTATCGACCCGTGCAGTGCTGTAGCTAATGCGTTAAATATCTCGCCTGGGGAGTACGTTCACAAGAATAAAACTCAAAGGAATTGACAGGGGGCCGCACAAGCGGTGGAGCATATGGTTTAATTCGATGTAAAGCAAAGAACCTTACCAGGGCTTGATATGTCGCGAATCCTCTTGAAAGAGAGGGGTGCCTTCGAGAACGCGGACACAGGTGGTGCACCATGGGAGTCTTGAGCTTGGTCTGGAGTCTCCACATGGGATTTCCATTAAGCTAAGCCCCTGAAACTTATGTAACGACATCAAAGAAACCTTGTTGATCCACCCAACAATTTAGAAATGTAAAATACTTAATAGCAGGTTGATTAATATTACAACACTTCTTGAGAAAAGGTCTATGATCAGACCTTGTTCTAACAAGATGTCTGATAGAACTATTCTGAAACTTTTGATTCCATAGATCATTAGGGAGAACGCTGTCCAACCTTTTCCATATCCTCTTACTTGGCCTCCTATTGTTGTACTATGTAAACATGGGGCCCGAGAAACCAATGTCTGTCACCCCACAATTATCCATACAATTAATGAAATCAAAACTTCTATGAATCTTGTGGGGTTAACCTCCGATTTTTTCACTCATATCAGCATTGAAATTAAAATCTCCTCCAATACACCAAGGAGCATTGATACCGTGGCTTAAGTATTCCAGATTATCCCAAAGATCCTTTCTTTTTATGGAAGAGCATTTTGCATAGACAGTTGATCAACCGCCAAGTTTGTTCCTTCTTCTTGTTTGATCTCAGTGGGAAGGCTAGATGAGCTTGTATCACTATATCCCATGGAATTTGATTCAGTAGCTTCTAAGATTTTATTGATACTTGTAGCCTCTCTATTTTTTATCGTATTATCATCCTTGTTTTCCTCTATGATTTTAACCAACAAATAATTTTTAACCCCTTCCTCTAGGCTATTACTCTTTGATTCATTGTCTTCGGAGCTCTTGTTTCCCTCTTTTTGCTATCTATCTTCAGTGTTGCTAACATGAGTTGGTTCTGTATTGCTCCTCCTTTTGAGATTATCTAGAATTGTAGAGTTCCTTACTTAATGAGCTTGGTTGTTTATATCTTGCTAATCTTCATCAATTCCGGAACCAGTGATGTCCTATTGGTTTGTACGAAGAATTTGATATGTCTTTTTTCGAGGAGTTCCCTGGGGTACAACAGGTTTGAATATTACCTTGTTTTTCTTTTTCGGCATCTTCTTTGTTTTATTCATCCTCTTTTTCTTCTTGTTAATTACATCAATAGCTATTTGTCTTTCTTTTTGGTTATCATCTTCGTGTGGTTCCGCATTTACTTTGTTACTTTGAGATCCTGCCACTTGTGTTGGTTCACTCTCCACCTTGTCTTGTTCTTTCCTCTTCCTCTTTTGTCTTTATCGTCATTTATGCCTATTTCCTTCTGTATTGCTGGAGCATTAGATATTCCTTCATTGGCATCTTTTTGTCCTTCTTCTATATCTATAGAAACTTTCTTTTCAAGAGCTCTAGAGTTAATCATGTTATGCACCAATTTTATACGGTGTTTGCAGTACTTTGGGATACCCTCGTATTTTAATTTCTGAGTATATCCGTTTAACGGGGAGTTATCAAACTCAAGACCAACAAAAATACTTTCATGCAAGGGTTTTAACAGATCAACTTCAACACGAATTTTGGCCATGTTACGCCTAGTTCTTCCCATAGTCGCAGCATCTAAAGCCAGTGGAGTACCAACTGAACTCTAAAGCTGCTTAACATAGTGCCAATTATGCATATGGAACGGCAAACCTGGAAGAAGCACCCAAGCCGGAGCTATTGGAAGATCCTCCTCTGGCTTGAAGTCCGGAGACAACTTTTGAAACCACATTTGCATTCCATCAATTTCAATCAGTCTTGTGAACCATAATGTTTTGAAATCATTTTCATTCACTAAATCAATAAATACGTTGTAGTTGTCATACACCCCAATTTTTGAAGATCCTTTAATCGCGACAATTTCTTTAAACCTTGACCGAATTCGATCAATTTGGGGACGAGGTTTCAGGAATCGGCCAACTATTGTGTATCTACACTCTTCTACCATAACGCCATAGTAGTCTTTTGCTTTGAATATCACGACTGGCATTCCATTGTGAGTAGAGTGTCGAGCTATCACCTTCTCCCTTCATGATAGGGTTTGCAGATAAAGAGGTGGGAGGTGTGACAGTGATAGCATAAGATTGTTTCCCTATAATTTCTTCACTGGGCGGAATCGTCTCATCAGGAGGAGCCTTTTGAGCCTCCGTATGCGCCGGAAGGAGACCTCCCAGTGGCTCCATCAAGTGGAGCGTTGAGAAGACGCGCTACCGTTTAAGAACTGAATTAGAGCCGTTGGAGAGAGTTTTTCCTCTGTTCGATGTTTTCCTTGTGGAGAAATTAGGCAACTTGGATTTAACTTAATAGTCAATGTAAATATCTATTTATTTTGCGCCTTGTTTACCAAGTTAGTAATTCTAATTTTTATGGATAATTACACGTAGTTATTCTTTTAAATGAGCTGATAGTCTAAAAGAACTCCACGTAATTAATTAGTGCAAGATAATATAATTCCACGTTGCTCTGACGTTGTCAACGAAAACATAAAGAAAGAGAAGAATGTGGTTTTTTCTTTTTGGAAACTAGGTTGAAAGACTGAAATGGAAGGATCTTATGGCATCTTAAGGCATGTTTTTGTTTTAAGATACTCGTTAATATTATTTATTAAGCTTTTTTAAATGGTGGAAACGACTAGCTAAATAGTATAGCTAAAATAACTATACTTTTTATTAGGCGATTTGATTTTAGAGATTACCGTTGATATTATTTATAAGTTATATGACTTTTGGCGAGGAGTTTTTTCTTCTATTTTTGCAGATCTCCTACTGTGTATAAATTTCAAGTTAATTCATTCACCTTGTATATAACACATGTTTTTTAAATTCATACTCCCACTGATTTCTTATGGATGATTCATTAGTACTCTTAGCATCAATTTTATATATAGAATGGATGAAACTATTCTTTCTTCCATGTGTTCGGATCCGTAACTAATAATAACTAAACTAGAGCTCGTGGTTTTTGACTGTCACATGGTATTGGCTCTTCGCATTTGGCATATGAAGATACAAGGCTTTATCGACCATCTAATTCATTGCATCAAAAATGAAACCGTACATAGACCCACCATTTTTCTAATCCACTGATATCAGAATAAATAATTAGATTTCTCCATTAATAGGGAAAGAATATGTAGATGACATCTCAGCTCTATTTCCTCGTCTAGCAGAACACTGCTGCATTTCCTAGTCCTAAATGAGATTAAACCTCACGTTGCAGATTGCCTTCTAGCTGGCTAGATTTGGAAAAGGGATTATACATTTTTGTACTAGTTCCTCTATCTATCCCAACTTGTTTGGCATTAAGTAATGAAACTACTTTTATTTCTTTATTAACTACAATGTACTACTTTTCCAAATATTTCTAAAAATGGTTTTACTATTGAAAATAAGTTGTGATCATGTATAGTACCTCCTATATATAGTTTCTACTTTCTACATGTAAAGCAAACTGTTTTCAAAGATCAAGAAATCGAGTTTCAAATACACATTCTTCTGGAGGGAGCAAGACTAACTCACGAAAGTGAACAAATTGAATAAGCCGGATAACTTTACTTCAAGTGCATTTCATGTCAGACATGTACATGTAATATGAACCGGGCTGAAGTTAGGTGGGCGAAAAGGGGTTTAGCCGAACCTCTTCGCTGAAATTACTCTCTGTGTACATAAGGTCAATTTTTTCCATGTATATATATTAAATGTTGAATCCCTTAGCTTCTTTGGGTGTTTATTTTTTTTATTTTTTGGATCCCTTGATGAAAATCTTGCTTCCACCACAACTATGAATACTTGAATAATCATCAATGCCGCATAAACCTAATTCGAAACAAATGCACAAGAAGCTTCAAGCTATATATTTATACATATCCGTTAATTTGGACTTTCATTTTTCAATATATAACATGCAGCAAATACTACTAATTGATCGCTGTAAATATTTTACATTTCATGCGCTGCCACGGTGATAGATTCTCACATTGAAACCACCAGCCATGTGTGCAGTTAAAAGAGGCACAAAAACCGGCTTATCTACATTCACCGGTTTAATCTCGAACCGCCTTAGTACTGAAGCCAACACATACTTCATCTGTGTAAATGCCATTTCTTTTCCCAAACACACCCTTGGACCTGCTTGAAACACTGGAAACTTATATGGACAAACACTTTTCGACACTCCATTTTCATCCAACCAACGATCCGGTTTAAATTCAAGTCGGTCTTTTCCCCATATCTCCTCCATTCTACCCATTCCGTACTGAAAATAAGTAACTCTATTTCCTTTTTGAACTCTTGTACCGTCGGGTAAAATGTCATCTTTAGCCGCATGCTTTGAGTCCCAAGCCACTGGCGGATAAAGCCTCATTGATTCATTCAAACACGCTTGTAAATACTTCATCTCTTTCAAGTCGTCGAATTCGAGTGCCTTATCGCCATTGTTGATCGACGTTATTTCACTGATCATTTCGTTTTTGACGTCGTGATGTTTGGTAGTTAGCCAAAAAAGCCAAGTCAAGGCTGAAGAAGTAGTATCTCTTCCTGCTATTAAAAAACTTATGACCATATCTCTTACCACCTCATCTTCGTGGCCAGCAATTAATAATCTTGAGAGAAGATCCATGTTTTTGTGATCCCCATTTTCATTGATCTTTTGTTTCTTTTTCTCTATGATCTCGCTAATACAACAGTGAACTCGTTTCACGTTTTCTTTCAGCTTCTTCTCGGATCCTAAATTGAGCGCTCTCTTGCTTTTCCAGACCGCGTATATAGGCGCCATCCCACGCATGGCACACGCTTGAGAAGCGTTGTCAAACGCTTCAACCAGAATTGGCACGTGCGAAAGATCGTCCAAGCAATGTGGGTCAGTGCCGAGTGACACCTTGCAAATTGTGTCGAATGCAAAACGCCTAAGCACGTCTTGCAAGTCCAACACTTTGGTAGATTTTGCAGCTTGGTCAAGCAATGGAATCAGTCTCGTCTCAACTACTTCTTCTAGAGTTTTGACCACAAATTCCCTCAATGACTTTGTGCTGAACTCGTGGCTAGCCAATTTGCGCTGCGTGTTCCATCGCTCGCCGTCTACATTGAAGATTCCCATCCCTAGAAAATCGCCTAATATCTCTGTAAATGGCTGACCCTTAGGATAATTAATGAAGTTCGTTTTGAGAATGTGCTCAACGTTATTCGCATTGGCTGTGATTATAGTTCGAGGTGCGCCAAAGCGTTGAACGAGAATGGTTTGTGTGGGTGACTCTGATAAAAGTTCAGTGTACCAATCCAATAGACGGTGACTATTTTTGTAGAAGGAAATAAGACAGCCAAGGATTGGATAAGAAGAAGGGCCATAGATGGGTGTGATTCTTCTGCATTTGAGATGAAGTTTTTTGGAGAAAGACAAAAAAGAGAAGGAAAGAAACCCTAAAATGAAGGAAAGTAAGAGGGAAAGAAACATCTTTTTTAGCGGGCGATGAGTGTTTCAGTGAGTTTAAGTGGCTTCAAAAGGAAGATAGGGGCTAAAGGAAAGAGTGAATGAGGTTTGATTGATTTGTGAGGGATAATTAGTGGCTCTATTTATATGTCTGTGGAAAGAAAATGACACGAGGGAGGAAATTTGCCGCGCTTCTTTATTATGCAATTTTTATCACGTGATTCTTATGCGGAAATTGGAATTTGAAAGCGGGCTGCTGGTGGAGAACTTTTAAGAGTCATGCGCGGAGAAAATTAAATGCCTTCTTTTTTTTTTTTAGATATTTATATAAACAGTAAGGTCGACAAACCCCAATTATCGTTATCTTCTAAGTTCTAACCATGTGGATATGGTAGTTACTAACTTACAATCTTACGCATAATTCAAGTCTATGTGGGCCTATTTCACAACTGAGTTGGTACAAGCTAAGTTTGAATTTGTGGTTATGGGTATTTAAGNTATATATATATATATATATATATATATATATATATATATATATTATTATTATATTATTACTACTTCTTGACAAGAGGGAATACATGCACCTCAAGGTCAACTGTCTGTCATAAGGGTATTTTTGTATTTTAGACAAAACAGAGCAATGCGAATGGCTGGAAACGAGTCTTGTGGTAGCAACTACATAAAATCTTTAACACGGGGGCGAAATTGTCTCTTGTTTATCTCATCAACCAGTAGCACATTCTTCTGACAAGTGTCAACTCTCCATCTACTTGTCATACTAATTGATGTCGGCTATCCATGTGCCTTTTCACAACAAAAGGAGTATTGCTGACTGCTAATTATAGTTTCTTCTTTTTCTTCCTTCTAAAAGTTTAAATATAGTTTAATATATTAACAGTATAATTTTATTTTGCCGCATTACTACATTGAACTTATTTAATTCTTGTAGTTATTTCTATGCCTAACTTTAGTTTTAATTTTAATTACATAACATTAAAAAAAAACTTATTGTTGGCATTTGGATCTAAAAGTTAAATATAGTTTAATATTTTAGCAGTATAATTTATTTATACGTTGTTTTGCCGCATTACAACATTTATAATCTTATTTAATTTTGTACCTATTTCTATGCCAACTTTAGATTTTAATTTTAATTACATAACATAAAAAACGTAACTTACTGTTGGCATTTGGATAATATTTGATTAAAATTGAAAAATTAGACCAATTGAAGTTGAAGTTGAAAAAATATATATTTGAAAGCTAAATTTATGTTTGGATATAAATTTTACTTGTAAATTAAGTCGTACCCAGTAAAATTTACAAGTAAACCAGAATATAAAGATGGCGACTAGAGTTGTTACGTTGTTTCCATTCTTATCATATTTATATAATTTCAAGACCCCAATGGATCTATGATAGGATCGTTTATTTACAACAGAATGGTATACAAAGTCAACAGATCTCAATGAATACAATAGGATTTATGGCTATGTACGTTAAAAACAGTTCTAGATCTGATCCAAGACGAACTGCGGTAGGAGATTTATTAAAACCATTGAATTTCGAATATGCTAAAGTAGCTCCTAGGTGTGGAACTACTCCTTTGATGGGTGTCGCAGATTTCTTAACTATTTCACACGAGAAATTTCTGCAAGTAAATTATATTTTGGTTGAGTACATAATATGATTGAACCTGATTGGCCTAAGAAACAAAGCCTAAGGATAGTCTATTATTAACTTTGCTAATTAATTAATTAATTTATTATTATTATTATATTTTGCGATTCTCCTTTTGGCCTATAAGTAGATGAAAAGCTATGTAGTGGACTTGGATTCTGAAATCATGTATTATTTCCAAAGGAATCGCAGGCTGCAATATAAAGACAAGAACAATATATAGTTATGCTTAATAAAAGAACTATCTCCATCGTATCCACCGAGCTAAATATTGCTTGTTTAAACTTTATGTGATTCTCTGAGATATTAATGTTTTTATATTATTTTCTCTAGAAAAAGTATTAAACAATTGTACTTATTGTTGGCATTTAATTTGGACAAAATTTATATCACAATATTAATTAGATAAATATAGAGTTTAAAATTTAATTTTCCTGCAATTTAAAATAATTACATAGTTTGACCTTTTTCTTTGCACGTGTAATTACTTAGTTAATATAAAATTAAGCGTAATTAAAATCAAGGAAGGAGTTTATAATTCAAACAGGAGTTCATCTCCATTGAGGGAAAATCATTTTTGTTCAATTTGAATAGTAATATTTCAACTGATGTGATCTAAGGGAATAGTTTTAAAAAGACGAACACTTTATATATAAGTAACAACTCAAAGATTAAACAACATCCAAATCAACCATGTATGAAAATGTATTCCAAATATTTTAAAATAAAATTTTTGGTAATAAAAAATAGAAAGGAGTATAGCTTGTTAGTTTTGATTATGAAGACTTATGAAGAGATTTAAATATTGAGATGCTTGATTTTGTTAATGCCATTGCCATTGTGAGATACTTAGGGTCTTTGATTGAATATTTGGATGCAAAGTCGCAAACCACTATTAATAACATAAGTGTGTTCGAATTATAGATTGAAGTAGACATATATATAAAGAAAAAGGTGCTTCGCAAATGAAAATCCAATGTAATTACTTTTTTAAAAATATCTGGGAAAAAAAGTGATAACAAAGGCCAGTTTAATGATATTGAATTTCTCTACTAATAAAAAATTACTTTTCTATCATACACTTTGAGGATCAACATAAAATTTACACGTTTAAAAATGAATTTCTAATTACAAGAAGACACAAAAGGTGAAAAATAACTAGAAGAATCTGATGATCAAATGTTGAAAAGAAGAATTCTCAGCGAATTTATAAAGGACTCAAAACAAAAGTGGTAAAATAAAAAGAATAATTTTGTAGTAATTCTTGGGTTGTAGCCCCAATCTAGCTATTTTTTTATTTGAACTATGCATTTTCCTTTGAACAATTATATCTTTTATTTGAATTATTATATGAAAATTGAAGCTTTCTATGATGTTAAAATTTGTATTGTCAGAATATGTAAGTTTGGCAGAAATTAGTCATGCTATTTAGCGTAACCTTATCAAGAAATAAGTTCCTTTTAAAATTTGTTTTAGTTTGGGACCAGCAATAATATACGAGGGATGTTATTGGCCCGTGCGCACCACGGAGTATCCTTAATTACTAGTATATATATAGCCTCGTATTCAACATTGAACGAAGACGAAAACCTTGAACAACTCAAAAGCTTCATTCTATTCAACCCGAAGCTTCTTTTCATGATAATGCACCTCATATTATGCTTCAATTTCAATACTTTGACCATCCAATATTATATCTTTGAGCATTATAGTCAAAATTCAATACTTTTGACTTAATCTTTCATGCATGTATTAGAATCAAATTAATCATATTAAAAATATTACTAAGATTTGTATTTGTAGGTCTGTAGAATAAATTCTGGGTCAAATAATTCAATGTTTGTTTTTTGGATTAAAACCCGCTATTGTTAATAAACTGTATTGCTAATACACCAAATATGTTTGTATTGTTTACTAATGATACCACATAAAAGGCGACATCACGGAGATATTAGCAGCCACACATATGACGCCTTGATTGACTAAACTACCTTCCTTTATTTGACATTATCTAATTTATCTTCCGCTAGTTTTGACTTTCAAGTTAGTTAATTTCACTTAATAAATAACTATATTCCAGTCTAACTGATTGGTTTTATAACCTTATGTCAACTATGTTATTAAGTGTAAAAATAAAAATAAAATAAATAAATAAGTGTAATCTGGATATTTATTACGGGCAAACATATGAGTCAGTTTGAAGTACTTTTAAACTCTTAATTAACGTTCTTAATTCGTAGGAGTATCATTACTACTTTACAATTTCATCGTAGTTATATATACAGACACAGTCACACTAAAGTCTAAACATCGTAGTTAAACCGAAACTAATCGTATGTTTCAATTAACATATCCCAACAAAAAGAAAAAGTTTTGCTGGCAGCTGCCTAGTAGTGGGGTTTCTTAATAACTGGTCCAGTTGGAAAAAAAAGAAGAAGAAAAAAATAACTGGTCCAGCAGTGTAGTAGTGATAAGAATTAGATACGTGATGTATAATATAGAGCACGTTCCGGATTCGTTCCCTAACTAAGAGAAGGGGCCAAGATATACGTAACTTATATGCTCCATTCAAAGGACAATTATTTAATTTCCTTTTTTGGTTCTACGTCGACATCAAAGTCACACCATGTTTTCGTCCTTTTAACAATCCAATATTCCCTAGTCTTAGATAGTACTAATTCCCAAGTACGAAATATTGAAATATTATGAATTCAAATAATTAAAATATTAAGGATTTACCTGTAACTATCGATCACAACTAGTTTGGAATTTAGGGGAGTATAATGTTGTTGTAATCATTCGGTATTTGAAGCCCACTAGCCCCAACTAATACGGATTTACAACCTTCGAAAAAGCTCATTGAGGAAAGAAAAACGCTTCCTATTAAGAAATTATTCATTTTTAAGATTCAAATTCGAAATTTCTGATTAAGGACGAAGGATCCTAACCAACTCGTTAGACCATGGTATATTAGTTATCCAAGGAAGTGTCGGCTAACAATGTTTTTGAAGTATCAATTAAATTTGAAAAATGAAGTAATAAAATAAGAGAAAAGAAGTCAGGAAAAATGATTAATTAAAATTTAAAGGTCGGTAGAAAGAAACTTAAATCAGTTGGTTTGGCTATACATCAGTAACTATCACCAAAATCCACCGCAAATTAAACCTCATTTTTGGCCTATTGCCTTTTAGTTTCTTTGCAAACCATTGCCTTAAGCTAACTGGTTTCAAGCTGAGAACATCAATATCACAACTTATTTTTGTCAAAAAGATAACAAAAGGCCGGTAATATAACATGACCAATATATATTATTGCTACCGACCAAGCATTGGTCCAAGTGGTCCATTAATTAGGATATCCAATTAAAACCTTTTTTTAACTAATTCCATTGCCTAGAAAAATATAAGAAACAAAGTGTGAGGCTA